TCACCTGAGGTCAGGAGTTTGAGACCAGCCTGGCCAACATGGCAAAACCCCATCTCTACTAAAAATACAAAAATTAGCCAGGTGGTGGCATGAAACTGTAATCCAGCTACTTGGGAGGCTTGGCAGGAGAATCACTTGAACCAGGGAGGTGGAGGTTGCAGTAAGCCCAGATTGTGCCATTGCACACCAGCCTGGGCAACAGAGTGAGACTTCCTCTCAAAAACAAATAAATAAAATAAAAATTAATTAATCAATCAATTTAATGAGTTAATATACATAAAGCAGTTAGAATAGTGCCTGGCCCAGGGACTCTTATAGTAAGTTCTTGATTAGTTACATGACCATGTATTCCTTGTCCAGCTACAAATATTAAAAGCTCTCCCTTTCACACTCAAAATATTCCTGTTTGAATAAATTTGGTCACCTATCAAAGAGTGTTTGTGTATTGACTTATAACAGCCTTAGGAGGGAGAAAAATAGAGGTAAATAAAACAAAGAGGGAGGAGGAAGCAAGGCAGATGTGGCAGAGAAGAAAGACTGAGTGCTTAGTCACTGGGCTTCTGTTGCAGGCTTTCCTCGCCCATCTACCGCTTCCCTCTCTTACCCAATTTGACAGCTGTGATGTTCCAGTGATAGGTTTTAGCTTCATTAGCACAGAGACAGCTGGAGATCTGAGAATCTGCCGGTGATTCTAGCTGGTACTCATGCGATTTAGCCAGGTCAGTCTGAACCTAAGGAGGAGGTTTAAGAGACAAAGGGTCCAAACGAAGGATGTAATACATAGAGGCCTGGGAAACCTGGGGGCCGAGATACTGAAATCTCTCTTTCCCAGGGAAAATTGGGATGCTTCCAATTTAGAGACAAACTTATGCGGGAAGCGTGATTCCAGGGCTGACACCTGACTCCTGTATCCCCAGCTCTCACCCTGATGCAATCCTTTAGGTAATTGAAGATGGTGGCAGTAAGACGAAAGGATTCCCCACGGACTACTGAGTAAGGGAGAGTCAGGTCCACAAAGAACGGCTTGAAAGCAGTTAGTCCAACAGTGGGTGAAAGCCCAAAGCCTCTGGACTGGGAAGTGCAGAAAGTCATCGCCTTCCACTCGGTGATGGCGTCAGGAACTGTGACGTGGACCGCCTCCTTCCCGGAGTTACTGTGAGAACACAAGGACCCCCGTGAGGCAGACGCAGCGTGGGGCGAGAACTGTTGTGAATTAAGCCACAGATTCGGTGGTGTGTGCTGGTTCATGCTTGTAATCCCAGGTCTCTGAGAGGCTGAGGTGAGCAGATGGCTTCAGCCCAGCAGTTTGAGGCCAGCCTGGGAAACATAGCGAGACCCTATTTCTACCAAAATTTAAAAATTAGCCAGGTGTGGTGGTGCATGCCTGTAGTCCCAGCTACTTAGGAGGCTGAGGCAGGAGGATGGCTTGAGCCCAGGAGTTTGAGGCTGCAGTGAGCTATGATTGCATCACTGCACTCCAGCCTGGGTGACAGGGCAAGACCCTGTCCAAAAAAAAAAAAGCTACACATTCATCTGCAGAAGTAAAATTGTTACTGTTGTTGTGTGGGGAGAAGTAAAGAGGCAACTGAAGAGGTGAGTCTCAGTGTGAATCCTCCAGTGAGTGAGGCTGCACTCATATGGAGGAGGGGGACTGTGTGGGGAGTCAGGGGTGGGCATCTCTGTGCAAGCACATCTGACAGAGAGGCTGGTGCCCTCTGAGTCTGTGAGGATGCGTGTTCTCAGGGCTTGTCAAAATGGACATGCAAGCAGTGGGCAAAAACTGATGTCAATATGTACCTTTAAATGTGTGTGGTTCGGTAGTAAGAACACAGGGCCTGCAATGCATGAGTGTGGAATTGTGTGGATTTGTTTTGAGTGGTTGTATATGAACGCATAAGAATTCAGGTAGGCTGGGCACGGTGGCTCACACCTGTAATCCCAACATTTTGGGAGGCCAAGGCGGGTGGATCACTTGAGCCCAGAAGTTCGAGACCAGCCTGGCCAACATGGCAAAACCCTGCCTCTACTAAAAATACAAAAATTAGCCAGGTGTGCTGGCAGGCGCCTATAGTCCCAGCTACTTGGGAGGCTGAGGCACAAGAATCACTTGAACCTAGGAGGCTGAGGCCTACAGTGAGCCAAAATCGTGCCACTGCACTCCAGCCTGGGTGACAGAGCAAGACTTCTGTCTCAAAAAAAAAAAATAAATAAATAAATAAATTCCCACACCCCATCAAGCTTTCGTTGCTTAAGACTTAGAGCCATTAGGAATGCATCTGATTCTGAGTTTTGTACAGGCTCTACATTGTAGAATCTTACGTTTTTTTCTGGTTGTTGTTGTTGCTACAGGGTTTTGCTTTGTCACCCAGGCTGGAGTGCAGTGATGTGATCTTGCTTCACTGCAGCCTCCACCTCCCAGACTCAAGTGATCCTTCCACTTCAGCCTCCCGAGTAGGACACAACTACCACCTGGCTAATTTTTAAAATTTCTTTTGTAGAGACAGAAGCTCATTATGTTGCCCAGGCTGGTCTTGAACTCCTGGTCTCAAGTGATCCTCTCTCCTCAACCTCCCAAAGTGCTGGGATTACAGGCGTGAGCCATGGACCTGG